TATATATATATATATATATATATATATACTTTGCTGGTTTTTGTGTTTCTCTAGAGAACCCAATCCAACACAGATGGATTGTATGATACATGAATTACATCAATGAAAAAAAAACGGCAATATGAAAAATAAGTTAATAGTGTAAGCAGGAAGGGTTGGGGGACAAGAACCTAAAATACAAACAAATTCTGAAATCTTTTAAGTCAATTAGAAAATTATAGTGCAATTTTACGTGTAAGTAAGGATGGCGAGACTTCGTCTCACATACGTTGGACATGCTTTCAGAAGGGACAGTCCCTGGAGAAGGACATTATGCTGGTAAAGTAGAGGGTCAGCAAAAAAAAGGAAGAACCTCAACGAGATGGACTGACATATGGCTGCAACAATTGGCTCAAACATGGGAACAACTGTAAAGATGGTGCAGGACCAGGCAGTGTTTCGTATAAAGTCACTATAAGTCAAAATTTATTCAACAGCACCTAACAACAACAATATAAAAACCAAACTAGTTGTCATCAAGTCAATTCCAACTCATGGCAACCCCAGTGTGTGTCAGAGTAGAACTGTGCTCCACACAGTGTTTTCTGAAGCAGATCATTAGGCCTTTCTTCCAAGGTGTTTCTGAGTACACCTTTCAAAGAGCAGTTGAGTGCTGTGGTAGTTAAGGTTTATGTGTCAACTTGGCTGCGCCTGGTTTTGAGTGGCTGGTCAGCTGGATGTTATTCCCCATGAGAAGACTGGTAACCAACTCCATGGTGGAATCTACTTGAGCAGCTGAGTAGCTGCCTTAGGGATGTGGTCTGCTTCCAGTATATAAGAAGAAGCATTGAGAAAAGTCTCTGCAGCTTTTTGGCATGCTTGGACCCTACATGTAGCCAAGATGACCCTACATGTTGTCCACGTATCTTAGGATTGTTCCTGCACTTGAACCAGTGACCTCCTGTGTTGTGTGATAATCTTGGAACTGTGCCATTTTACTTTTCGACCTTGGGCTTGTTAGCCTCAGCAGCCAGCAGCTGCCTGAGGAAAGAGACAACTCCACCTCCAGTGGACTGGAAGCCAGAGGCAGAGCTGAAGCCCAAGGTCAAAAGGCTTTCACCCAGTGCCTAGAGCAGGCACTTTGAACTCGGACTTCCAGCCTCCTAAACTGTAAGAGAATAAATCCTTGTTTGTTAAAGCCACCCACTTATGGTATATTCCTGTTAGAGCAGCACTAGAGGAAAAAAACAAGTGCATTAAACATTTTTACCACCCAGGGCCTCCATGTACTTGATTAAAAAACCAAATTCACTGCCATTGAGTCAATTCTGACCCATAGTGACCCCCACTGGGTTTCCAAGGCTGTAAATCTTTATAAAAGCAGATTGCCTCATTTTTCTTCCACAGAGCAGGTTGACGGATTTGAACTTCCGGTTAGTAGTCAAATGACTTAACTACTATACCACCTGAGATGCTTCTTGTTGTTGTTGTTGTTGTTGTTAAGTGCCGTCGAGTCATTTCCGACTCATAGCAACCCCATGCACAGCAGAACGAAACACTGCCCGATCCCGCGCCAGCCCCACCACAATCCCTGCTATACTTGAGCCCATCATTGCAGCCACCGTGTCAATCCATCTCGTTGAAGGCCTCCCTCTCTTTCGTCAACCCTCCACCCTACCAAGCATGACATCCTTCTCCAGGGAATGGTCCCTTCTGACAACATGACCAAAATACGTGAGACGAAGTCTGGCCATTCTTGCTTCCAAGGAGCATTCTGGCTGCACTTCCACCAGGACAGATCTGTAAGTCTTTTTTGCAGTCCATGGGACTTTCAGCATTCTTCGCCAGCACCACAACGCAAAAGCATCAACTCTTCTTCGGTCTTCCTTATTCATTGTCCAGCTCTCACATGCATACAAGGTGATTGGAAATATCATGGCTTGTGTCAGGCGCACCTTAGTCCTCAAGGAGATATCCTTGCTCCTCAGCACTTGATACAGTTCCTTCACAGTTGACTTTCCCAATGCTACACGTCATCTAATGTCCTGACTGCTGCTCCCGTTGGCATCGATTGTAAAACCAAGCAAGGTGAATTCTTTGACAACTTCAATCTTCTCTCCATTTATTGTGATGCTGCTCATTGGTCCAGTTGTGAGGATTTTTGTTTTCTTTAGATTGAGACGTAATCCATACTGCAGACTGTATTCTTCAACCTTCATC